TAATCAATCCTTGAATATCTTCACGTTGTGTTCAAAACCAAGTGATCGAGAGCTACAGGTACTTATAAGATCAGGTGTCAAAAATCCTGAAAAACATCTGCCTGAATCCGTTAATTCATTTTATAACTCAGAAGTATGTAAGTTCTTGAAATCCAAGAGCGTATATAAAATCTTTAACGAATTTCAGCCCCATGATGAAAGTTTTGATGAAATTCCAGACCTAAAAGATACAAATCACGATAAATTAAATAAGGAATTTAAACACGAAGCTCAAGTACAAATAAGTGACAGTCCTCAAAATAATCAGGCATTGTCGTTAAAGTCTGAACACAATAATATATCCATTAAGCAAATTTTTATCTCTGGAAGTAAGGACTCTAGTGATTTTAATGAACGAACTAAAAAGCCTCAAGAAGAAAGAGAAATTAAAGTTAAGTCAGAGCAATATAAGAATAGAGAACAACTAAGTAAACTTACTCAAAACAAGCTCTGTGAGATGAAAGTCGATGCACTTAGTAAAGATCCTATCAACGATTATGAGAATTTCAAAGATAGTATAACAGATCGCGTAACTGAAAGTGACAAAGCGAAGGTTATCTCTTGACGATCACAGAAGGAAGTGATCTGGAAGAAATTACAATTAGTAATATGAAACAAAATAAAAGATCGAAAAATAACCTAACTAATATAAGTAGAAATCGTAATAAGTCTATCCCAAAAATCTCTCATCAGAACAAGAGGCCTAAAAACAAAACGTTAGTTCAAGAATCAAAGTTAAAAATTAAGCAAAGTAATAGTAAAACTCACCAGAGGACAGATATCTCGTCATCATTACGTGATACTATTGGAAAACAAGATGACGATTGTGAATGTATGAACCTTGATATAACCAGGAATAAATTATATTCAGCTCCTTATAAGTTATTAGCTCAACAATTTCTTCTGCAAATTGAAGAATTTAAAAGAATTTACGAACTATTTAAACGTAAAATAACTCCTTCTAGAATCAAACATATGATCAAAAGCATGGATCTCATTTTACCTGCTTTTGATAATAACTTGCCATTACCATTTAAAAAATTGCATAAGGCTCTTATTCAATTAAATAATCGACAATTAAATGAGAAACATCCAAGAATTCTAAAGAAATTATTGGACAATTGTGCAAATATACGATTTAATGGAACTGTTTTTATTAAAAACCCGTAACCTATGAATAATATACTGATGCATATTACCTTAGGACTTTTAAGAGATTTAGACCCTCCTATATTAATCGATATTATCCTAATTAATCATTATACTTCAAATGTTAACTGTACCAAATTTCTGCGTTCTCTTTCCTACCTATCCTTTTTATATTTGTATCGTTACTATATTTAACCACCTTAATAGAGTCAATCATTAACACTGATTATGAAAAATAGAACATATAGAATCTAGCAAATTAATAATTGTTATCATAATTACTTATTCGCAGGAGCTCATAATTAAGCGG